GGGTGGTGGGTTTGGGGATAAAGGTGGGGACACAGTTGAGTTGAGTTGAAAGTGGGAGTGCAGACGGGCAGGGAGTGGGGTTGGGGTGGTGTTGGGTGGGGATGGGGCAGGGTTGTGCTACGTCATAGAGAATCCGACTGGTCTTTGTCTCTGGTTCCTGGGAGAAGGACTCTCAATCCTTGGAGCTTCCTGAGTTATGAGGGTCTTTGCTATTGTCGAGCCTGTGGGATCGCACCTGCTGTGGAGCCGAGATGACTCGGGATGGGAGCTGGTCACCAGAAAAACCAACCACCAGAATGGAAAGTTGAGGCTTTAAGCTGATTGATATCAGCTCCTCTGGGGAAGGGTGTGGGGAGGAGGTTGAGTTCAGTCACGTGGCCAGTGGTTCAACCGCTGGATGCCAAGCGCCCTGGGCTTCCTGGATGCTGAACACGTGGGTGTGCTGGGAGGGTGACAGACCCTCTCAGGCTCTACCCTACTTATGCGTCTGTTTATTTGGCTGGTCTTGAGTTATCCTTTGTAAGAAAACTGTAATTGTAAGTAGAGTCCTTTTCGGAGTTTGGTGATTGGTCCTAACAAATTTTCAAACCTGAGTGGGTCCTGGGAACCCTCCAATTTGTAGCCAGTTTGTCAAAAGTGCAGGTGGCTTGGGGACCCCACTTGCAGCTGAACTAGGGGTAGCCTTATTGGGAACCATGGCCTTAAACCATGGGGTCTGATGCTGACTCAGGGTGGTTATGCTAGAACTGAATGTCAGTGTCGGAAGAGGTGGAGTTAGAAATAGTCTTGGAGTTGGTGCTGGGTGAGGGGTTGGTATTAGGGCGGGGGCGGGGTTGAGAGTGAGGAGTCTGGGATGAGAGTGGTGCTGGGGTGGGGACGGATAGGGGTGGGAGATGGGCAGGGCGTAGGGAGAGGGAGAGGGAGAGGATAGGGCAGGTCCACTCACTGGAGGCAAAGAATACGATGCCGGCAGAGAAGGGCCTGGAGAGGCGAGTGAAGGTGGGCTGCTGAGCGAAGGCCAGGATGCCCATGATGATGCCGGAGGTGGCACACAGGGAGGACAGGATCATGAAGGCCCGGGTGGCGTTCCAGTATGCTGTGGGAACACCCCACGGTCACTCCCAGGCCTCCCCTGCCCTCAGTGGTGAAAGCTGTTATCTCAGAGGGCGGGAATGCCTTACCCCTCTCCATATCCCTGACCCAGCTCCTCCTTCACCTCTTTGCAAGTGGCCTGCTCTTCACCTGGCAAACTCGTATCCACCCTGCAACTCCCAGCTCCCAAATCCCCTCCTCTAGGAAGCATCCCTTTGCCACTCAGGCATCATCCTCACGCCCTGCTCTGGGTTGTGACTCTTCATCTGTCTTCCCCTCCCGGCCTGATTGCCCCCTGGGGACAGGGGCTGGGCTGACTCTATGTCACGAACACCCCCAGCATAGGCTTGGTTTGCACAGGGGCCTGGAGACACAGTTGCGGGTGGGGGGCGCTGCTGCGGGTGCTGCCTCGCCCGCCGTTCTTTGTCCCGTCACAGCGCTGTTTCGCTGCCTTCACACCGCTTGCCCACCTCTGAAAATGCCCATGTGTTGATTTTTGTTTCTGTCTGTCTCTCCCCACGGAATCCTCAGCTCTGTGAGAACAAAGGTCTGGCTTTCTCAGGCACTGCTGCGTCCCCAGCACCTTGCGCCTGGCACGCGAGAGATACTCAATAAACACCTGGAGCGACAGGATGCTGAGCACTAGAGGTCGTTCTCCTCTCTCTCCATAAGCTGTGTACTACGTAACATACTATATCATACACAGAGACGTAGCATGTGACATAATACATACTACGTCCACACTACAAATGTATATGTGCATGCTATACGCTGCAAGAGCCCTACACTGTAAGTACTACCCGTATCCCCATATTTATAATATATATTGTAATATATACATACACAAGCACATATATAATATACTAATATACATATATGTCACATAGCCTGGCACATAGCAAGTATAATACCTCATCCATATTTAGCAAATTTAGGGTCTATCTTGCTTTTGTATCCCCCAGTACCTAACATAGTTTTTTGTTTCAGTTACAGTTGGCATTCAATATTATTTTGTATTAGTTTCTGGTGTACAACATAGTGGTTAGACAATTAAATAATTTGAGAAATGATCCCCCAATAACTCAAGAACCCACCTGGCCCCACATATAGTTACCATAGTATTACTGACTGTGTTTCCTGTGCTGTGCTTTACAATCCCTTGACTATTTTCTAACTACCAACCTGTACCTCTTAATCTCTTCACCTTTTTTACCCCACCCCAAGCCCCCTCCTGTCTGGCGACCATCAGTTTGTTTTCTGAGTCTATGAGTCTGTTTCTATTTTGTTTAGATTCCACCTATAAGTGAAATCACATGTTATTTGTCTTTTCCTGACTTATTTCACTCAGCATTTTAACATAGTTCTTGATACATAGTCAATATTTAGAAAATGCTGTTCTGGTGACCCCAGCCCACCTGCTGTACCTGACCTCTACTTTGTTCGGGACATGTCATCTCTTCCCCCTTAACCCCTCAATCGGTACATTCTGTGACTGCACTAGAAAGAAATACAGAAATCCCAGCTTTGCCCCTTCCGTGCTCTATGAGCTCAGGTTGGCCTCTTTCCTTCCCTGAGCCACAGGTCTGAGGTTTCGCCATCTGCAAAACAGGTGGCCCTTTGGCTGTGAGGTTCTGCCCTATGGGGCTCTGCCCCCAGGAACAGCCAGACGCTGCCAGGAGCCTCACCAATGCTCTCCGTCTGCAGGTAGCACTTGTTGCCCAGGCAATACCGCCATAAGCCCTGGTGGGCAAAGGACCCCGACAGCCGGTACTGCATCCAGTGGTCTGTCGCTGTGGCCACCACCAGGAGGATAGTCCCCACCGAGGCGCAGAAGAGGCCGCCACCCATGAAGCTGTACATGCTGATCTGTGGGGAAGGGGAGAGATGGGCTCAGGAGTTGGACTCCCGGGCTCTGGGGGAGGATGGCACTTGGGGCCTGGGCTCCTGGGGCCTGGGAAGAAGGCGGCTCGGGGGATGAACTCCTGGGTCTGAGACAGGACCAACTGAGGATGCAGACTGCAGGGTCTTGGGGGAGGAAGAGCCCAGGGGCCTGGATTTCCAGGTCCTAAGCCAGGGGGTGGGCTGGGCACTAGGACACCAAAGTCCTTGGGGGAGGAGGAGACTGGGGCCCTGGACACCTGGGTCCTAGGGGTGAAGGGGGCTTGGGGCTGGAACCTCACCAGGTACCAGGGAGAGGAAGGAGCTGGAGGACTGGATCCTTCCGTCTTGGGGAAGGAGGGGCTGCATGTCCCATTCCCTGTCCCTACCTGAGTGGCAGAGCCTGTCCTAAACCCTCCGTCTGCCTCAGCCCTTCTGTGCAGACTGAGTCGAGCCAGGTCGCTAACCTCTCTGCTCCCCGTGTCCCCCAAATCCCTTAAGCCTCCCCACACAATGGCCCCACAGCCCAGCAGCTTCCAGAAGGCAGAAGTGCAACGGTGGCAGGGGCCCCGAATGGAATTCGCTGAAGCAGGGATCCAGGCCTCCCTCCTGTGCCCCAGGCCCCGCTGGCCTCCCTGTGACCCTCCCAGCCACCCTCCCACCCTCCCACAGGCCACGCTCACNCAGGCCACGCTCACAGCGCCCACTGGGTCAGCCTCAGCTGGTAAGCACACACGGACACGAGGCATAGGGACACGTCCATTTATTGTTCAGCCAGGGCCCCCACCCCCAAGGGCGGGAGGCAGGGTGGTGTCTGGGTATCCTGGGCCTAGGGGACGCTTGTGGTGGGGTCACAGGGCTCGTCACAGTTGGGGCAGGGACAGGAAGGAGGCTGAGGCCGAGGTGGGGCTGCGATTGGGGCTGGCTTTAGATGAAGTCAAGGATGAGGGCTGGGTTGGCCTGAAGTAGGTGGGGACCAGGATAAAGAAGCTGGGAGCGTGGACTCCGTGGAGATGGGACAGAGATGCGAGGGAGGGAGCCCAGGAATGTGGTGCCGAGAGTGGGGACGGGGTGGGGTGGCAGAGGCAGGGGAATGGCTTTGGGATTGAGAACGGCGTCAGAGTTGGGTTGGAGGAGCCCTGGGTTGAGAATGAGCTGAGGGTTGTCGCTATAGTTGGGGAAAGTGTCTGGATGGGGAGAGGCACTGGGTATGAGGTCCAGGGCCTTTTCTGGCTTGGGAACCCAAGTCAGGTCCAGGTTTCGCCAGGGGACTCCCACCCCCGCTGCTGAGGCCACGGTTTGGGGGAAGAGGGATGAGGTATCTCTGGCAGGGCTGGGGTCATCTCTAGGCTCCGAGTGGCCCTCTCTGGATTCTGTGGTTCTGGGCTCTCAAGGTCCTAGTACTCAGTGTCCCAGTCCTCAGTGGCAGGTGGCGTGGCCAGGGTTGGCTCCGGACCTCGGGCTTCCTTCTTCCCACCCTGAGTAATTGGTGTTGGTGGTGAGGATGGCGTCGTGGGTGGGGTCTTGGGGCCAGCCCCAGAGACCCCTGCCCAGACCTTCTTTGGCTCCTCAGACCTTCCACGTCCCCATCGCTGCTGGCCCCGGCCCCAGCTAGACCTTCGAGGGACGCCCCAGTCCCCACGTCCCCTGCATGGCCTCTTGGCGGTGTGCGGCTGGGTGTCACAAGCCTGGGGGTGGCAGGTGCAGGAGGGTAGGGACTGCTGAAGGCTATAGGCCCCCAGCAAGGCGCTGTGCAGGAGGTAGGAGAGGGCATCCAGACGGATGGGGACGGTGACAGAGGCCACGCTCTCGGGGAGCCCCAGGTGTGCTGGATCTGGGGTGCCCAGGAGAGAAGATGGCAGGGCTGAGAAAGGCGCAGGGGGCCATGGCTCAGTCCCAGGTGATGGTGGGGACAGGCTGTTCCTGGAATGGCAAGAAGACAGGTCAGCGGGTCTCACCATCCACATACCTTTCCCAGGGCAGCCAGGCTGCTTCTGTGCTTCTCCTGGGGTCCACCTCTCCATCCTGACTTCTGCATCCACCCAGGAGCCCCTC